TAATTAAGGTGTTTCAATTTGGAGTCCAGAATAAATATGACTGGAGCACTCCCCAAAGTCCTTGCTAATTGTGTAGATTGCATTTTTTAAGCTTTGAAAAGTTTTATTGGATAATGAACTGTTAAGTAGTGTTAGATCTCTGTTCTTGGCGGAGTTTGGAGATGGCCACGAAGACAGGCTTGAGGTGTGGCCTTGTACAGGTAATTAAAGCCAGATTTCACATATGCTTTGATCTTACTGTCAGCTTTTGGTTAGAGCTGTAAAAATTGTTTAATTATTAGTAATGTTAATGTTGGTAACTTAGAATCAGACAATGCTGAGTTTTCTGAAGTACACAATGCTAATCTCAATTTTGCCTATGTGAGGTTCTCATTTGGATAACGAATTGTTTGTAACAGGTAATTAGAAGATGTGAAAATTTCTACCCTGTTTACCACTCACCACGCACAAATGCTGTTTTTTAATCTGTGTGGGCTGTTGACTTAATTTCAAGTCAGATTCTTATAGGATGTTGCCAGTGTGCCAGCTGATTTGAGAGTTTCCCAACAAACATTCAGTGGTTGAAATGAAACTGCTGTTGTAGTGTAAAATTAGCTTGAGTTTTAAAATTTTATTCTTTACATTGTGTGGTGTGAAAAGCCCAGGTCAGCAATTTGCAGGACCCATTTTTTAGATATGAACAGCAAGCTGATGCATCCCATCATAAGTCTTTGGAGAATCGGAAGAGAGCCGTCCCTCATGTCTCCGTATCTGGGGAAGACGTGTTTTTTATGTTGGTTGTAGGGCGACTCACTGTAGGCTTTGCGGAGCAGATTAATTTCTCTTTGTGCTTTTGGGCTGCCCGTTGACGACACCCGGTGCGGGCACGCAGTGCGGACATGCAGTGCGGACATGCAGTGCAGACACGCCGCTTCACACGCAGGTCTGGAGACGCCCGCAATCACCATTGTGCAGGAAAAGTCCATTAGTTTCAATTTGGATGGTTCAGTGCGAGTGCTTGATTAAGTCCAGGCAATTTGCTGACAGGCAGACAGGCCCTCCGCACCCCCGAAAGCCCCCCCTCCCCCCCCCCCTCGGGGCGTCACAGGGCAGGTGAGCCGTGTCACTGCTGTTTAGCATACGTGTTCGTTCCCTTGCAAAGCCGCCTCGCCAGTGCTAATTGGGAAGAGTGTCTCGCCTGATCCTTACAGTGGGATCGCCAGTGTCTTAATGATTACTGCGGTTCAATAAAAGAGTAAAAGAAAAACAGTCTGAAAATGTAACACTTGCATTGTACTGCCATATGTTTTGCTGGGCTCGCATGTGTGTGCATGTGTGTGCATGTGTGTGCATGTGTGTGCATGTGTGTGCATGTGTGTGCGTGTGTGTGCATGTGTGTGCGTGTGAAAGCGGCTCCTCACTCTTCTGCCATCCGTTCTGATTTGGTGCCCATTGTGGGCAGGCTTTTCTGTGTGAAGTCAATGGCAAACAAACGTTTGAACTTCCAAGCGGGACAAAATAGACCCAAGTGGGAGAAATTGCTTCCATTTTCTGCAGTTAAATAAATAGTCCTATTAGTCTGCAGCAGCGCTGGTCATTTATACCTATTAAAGCGGCGTCTTATCACCCATAACTGAGCCTCACATCTATGGAAGTGTGGCTTGTCTCTAATCAGCATTTTAAACGGCCCAGGAACATTCTGGATAGCGAGGCTGAGATTTACACATGACAAATGGAGCAGTTGACTGGTGGGCTAATAAGGATTTGTCTTAATCAAGTGCAATTTGTTGGCGCGGGGCTCATGGGGTCAGGGCCTGCAGAGCTAGCCACGGTGACTGAGCGCACACTGGCTGAGTATGCACAGACTGAACACACACTGACTGAAAACACACTGGCTGAGTATGCACAGACTGAGCACACGCTGACTGAGCACACACTGGCTGAGGATGCACTGACTGAACACACACTGGCTGACCATGCACTGACTGAACACACACTGGCTGAGTATGCAACAAACTGAGCACACGCTGACTGAACACACACTGGCTGAGTATGCAATAGACTGAGCACTGACTGCACACATGCTCACTGAGCATATGGTGTACACACTGAGCATGCACTGATTGAACACACAACTGAGCACATGCTGATTGAAAAGACATGGAAAAGTCCGGGTCTAAGCAGTCTGAATGGACACTGACAGCGTGCACAGACTGAGCACATGCTGACTGCGCAAACACAGACACTATGGGTTCATACACTCCAAAATCAGCCTCTTACTCACCGCTGTCTTACATTGCATAGACTCTCTGTCCCGCCTGCGTCTGCAGCAGTCAGCCTCTTACTCGCCGCTTTCTCTGAGTGCATAGACTCACTGTCCTGCCTGCGTCTGCAGCAGTCGGCCTCTTACTCACCGCTTTCTCTGAGTGCATAGA